GCCCCCGGCGGGGGCCGTCACCGCGCCCGCTCCGTCACTATGGGTCGCGCTTGGAACGCCGGCGTCGGCCACGCCCACTCCGCGGGCGTGACGGGAGTTGTAGTGCGGGGAGTGGGTTGGGGGTGGGGAGGGACCCGGGTTCGAGACCCGCGTGGGGTGTTCAGAGAAGGGATCACCAGAGAGGTGGGGTGGTCAGGGTCACCTGGGGAAGGCACCGTTGAAGACAAACCCTTCCAGGGACGCAGGCACGAGTCACCACACCCGCTTTCCGGTGCGACACCAGGAAAGCATTTTTCCCTGCTGCCTCAGTTTACCCAACCGGATGGGATGAGGGAGGCACCTGGCAGCGCCCCGGAGGTGACAACGAGGGACGTGACCCTGGTGTGAATGAGTGTCCCATTACAGCTTCATGCCCCGGGGCAGACAGCCCGCATTCCTGACCCTGGCATCACCCTTTAAGTTTGCCCGGACACTTCCTCCCCGAGTGGGGAGGAGATGCAGCTGAGAAGTTCCAGAAAGCCTGAGGAAAAGGGGGTAACCTCACCCCCCAAACATGTGTTGGGGGGGGAGTGATTTCCTCCACTTAATGCCCCCACCTGTCCCTCCAGCCCCAGTCCAGCAGGGGCAGGAGGTGACACACTGAGGTGGGAGGGATCCAGAGCCCTGAGGAGATACAATGAGGGAAAATTTGGTGGGGGGTAGAAAGGGGAACTGGGTTATATTTGATCAGTGGGAGAAGATGGGGTGGAGGATAATTTTGGGATAACATGGCCTGAGATAGCATCTTGTTCCTTTTGGGATGCCCTAAGACCACTCTTGCAGCACCCAGACCCTCATATGTGGGTGCAAAAAGGGGTTTGGGGGCCCTCTGAAAATGGGGGTGCACAGGCAGGGAGGGTGGCTGGACTTGCCCCCACCCCAGCCTGGGGACATCATCCCCCCCATGGCTTAAGGGGTGGCAGGGATGGGCAAAAGAGACATGGGGGGAGCAATGGGGTGTTGGAAGCCATGGGAATGGGGGAGATATGGGGAGCAGGGGGAGCCAGCTGAGGGAAAACCGTTGGAAATGGAACGAGGAGCTAGAGGAATTCTGGGGAGCAGTGGAGCCACAGGGATGCTGTAAGGGGAGAGAGGGGGCTGGGGAAAACAATGAGGGGGCTGTTTGGGACATGGGGATTAGTGGGTTCAGGAACTGGGAAGGAACTCTGTGCTCCACCCAATGCTCAGCCCATCCTCACCCCTCTGGGGGTGCCCAGGGTGTGTGTGGGGGGGGTGACACCCCCATCTCCCAGCCCAGCAAGGCCATGGAGTGAAGCAGCCCTTCGTTAGGGCCATGCAATTAGGAACCTCTTAGGAAAGGAAGGTGACCCACCCAGACTCCCCAAGGAGCTTCATGCCAGCACCCACCTGAGAAGGTGGCAGGTAGTGTCTCTCAGAAGAAGCCCTCAGGTGGGCAGGTGCACCCACAAGTTTTTGGGGTTCAGGCCTGAGCAAGGCAGCTTCTGTCTTCCCAGACACAAGAGCAGACAGAAAATGCTCCAAATGGGATGGGGTGAAATGAGATGGAGAAGAAACCCCAGAGCTGGGGCTGGGTAAACCAAGGCAGGGACTGCTCCTCCTCTAAAGGAGGTTCCTTTGCTCACAAAAATAAAAGGGAATGACATGGCTCTGTGCCTTCACCCCCATCCATGTGTCTGTGGCAGACCCAGGGTGAGGAGATCCCACTGTGCCTGGGCATCCTGTGGAGTCCCTGACATCCTTGAGGATGGAGATGACATAGCAGGGTCTCCCTTCCTGGCTTCTTGTCCCACTTCCACACAGACCACTCCCTTCCCAGCACCCAGCCTTGTGATCCTGAGCCACAGGAAGCCCTAACTTGCCTCTTCCAGGGTTTGAGCTGTGCCCCAGTCTTCCCCACCACTCTAGGCCAGGTGGATTTATCACACCAGAGAGGCTCCCAGCCCCCAGTCAAACCTGCTTTGGGCAGCTGATTGCTGGGCAGATGCTGGTGGGCACTGGGATACAAGGCTGGGGGCATCTCTGCATGTGCAAGGGTTGAGGCTGTGGCCAAGACCCCATAACAAGCAAGGGAGGCTGCAAAACAAGGAGTGGGAAGGAGGAGAGGGACACTGATCCCACAAAGATGAGCATCCCAAGGGATACAGGAGCCACGTGCTAGGTCCAGAGCTCATCCCACCCCAGGAAGCAACAATACAGCAGCATGGGGTTCCTTTTGGGATGCCCTAAGACCACTCTTGCAGCACCCAGACCCTCATATGTGGGTGCAAAAAGGGGTTTGGGGGCCCTCTGAAAATGGGGGTGCACAGGCAGGGAGGGTGGCTGGACTTGCCCCCACCCCAGCCTGGGGACATCATCCCCCCCATGGCTTAAGGGGTGGCAGGGATGGGCAAAAGAGACATGGGGGGAGCAATGGGGTGTTGGAAGCCATGGGAATGGGGGAGATATGGGGAGCAGGGGGAGCCAGCTGAGGGAAAACCGTTGGAAATGGAACGAGGAGCTAGAGGAATTCTGGGGAGCAGTGGAGCCACAGGGATGCTGTAAGGGGAGAGAGGGGGCTGGGGAAAACAATGAGGGGGCTGTTTGGGACATGGGGATTAGTGGGTTCAGGAACTGGGAAGGAACTCTGTGCTCCACCCAATGCTCAGCCCATCCTCACCCCTCTGGGGGTGCCCAGGGTGTGTGTGGGGGGGGTGACACCCCCATCTCCCAGCCCAGCAAGGCCATGGAGTGAAGCAGCCCTTCGTTAGGGCCATGCAATTAGGAACCTCTTAGGAAAGGAAGGTGACCCACCCAGACTCCCCAAGGAGCTTCATGCCAGCACCCACCTGAGAAGGTGGCAGGTAGTATCTCTCAGAAGAAGCCCTCAGGTGGGCAGGTGCACCCACAAGTTTTTGGGGTTCAGGCCTGAGCAAGGCAGCTTCTGTCTTCCCAGACACAAGAGCAGACAGAAAATGCTCCAAATGGGATGGGGTGAAATGAGATGGAGAAGAAACCCCAGAGCTGGGGCTGGGTAAACCAAGGCAGGGGCTGCTCCTCCTCTAAAGGAGGTTCCTTTGCTCACAAAAATAAAAGGGAATGACATGGCTCTGTGCCTTCACCCCCATCCATGTGTCTGTGGCAGACCCAGGGTGAGGAGATCCCACTGTGCCTGGGCATCCTGTGGAGTCCCTGACATCCTTGAGGATGGAGATGACATAGCAGGGTCTCCCTTCCCGGCTTCTTGTCCCACTTCCACACAGACCACTCCCTTCCCAGCACCCAGCCTTGTGATCCTGAGCCACAGGAAGCCCTAACTTGCCTCTTCCAGGGTTTGAGCTGTGCCCCAGTCTTCCCCACCACTCTAGGCCAGGTGGATTTATCACACCAGAGAGGCTCCCAGCCCCCAGTCAAACCTGCTTTGGGCAGCTGATTGCTGGGCAGATGCTGGTGGGCACTGGGATACAAGGCTGGGGGCATCTCTGCATGTGCAAGGGTTGAGGCTGTGGCCAAGACCCCATAACAAGCAGGGGAGGCTGCAAAACAAGGAGTGGGAAGGAGGAGAGGGACACTGATCCCACAAAGATGAGCATCCCAAGGGATACAGGAGCCACATGCTAGGTCCAGAGCTCATCCCACCCCAGGAAGCAACAATACAGCAGCATGGGAAGAAAAAAAAAAAAAAAAGAAACAAACAACAAAAGTGAAATGTTTATTCCCACCTGGCATCACTTCCCTGGGCCGTGGGTGGCAGGTCACAGCTGGACAAAGGACTGTCACCCTGGAGAGGTGACCACGTCTCCTCGTTCTCCCCGCACGCCCACGGCACATCCAGCTGGGGTTGTGGAAGCCCTGGGGGCCAAGGGCTCCAGCTGGAGCTTTGGAAGCCCTGGGGGCCAAGGGCTCCAGCAGCAGTTAGTCCAGGCAGGGGGGGCTTCAAGGAAGGCAGGCAGGGAGGAGGGGGTCCCAGCAGCAGCTAAGGGCTGCGTTTGGCACAGACCCTCTTGGACATCCCCTCCCCGGGGCACAGAGCTGCTGTGGGAGCAACTGCAAAGCCCCTGCCAGAGCCAGGGTCTTGTCCCAGACCCCTGGCTGGAGATTCCCAGGGGCAGTGGTGGGTTCAGGAGGAATTCATGCTCTCCCACTGCCGGAAAATGCGGAACACCTTGGAGGACTTGACTGAGAGACTCTGTGAGAGAGGGGAGCAAAGTAACAGGCAGAGGTTAAGACACCGCAACAGCTCCAAGGACCTGCCTACAAAGCCTGGGAAGCAAAACTAGAACCCATCCAAGAGATCCTATTTGGCTGCCAGGGCATCAATTTGCTCCTCTTCTTCATTAACCCTATTTAGAGAACCAGAGAGGAGAACAGCAAGGTTCAAGCAAGAAGCAGGACAAGACTCCAAATCTCCCCCACTCCAGCTGGGTCTCACACCTCCAACTCATGCCTGGTCCCACAGGATCTGCTGGAGCTTTCCCAGCACATGGCACAGCTGGAAGGGACCACCCATGTGCTGGAGCCCAGAAACCACCTGTGTCCTGGGGCTGTCACCAGCAGGGTGACCAGCAGGGCCAGGGAGGGGATTGTCCCCTCTGCTCTGCTGAGACCCCCCTGCAGGGCTGGGGCCACCTCTGGGGTCCCCAACACCAGAAGGACACAATGCAGCTGTTGGAGAGAGGCCAGAGGAGGCCACGGAGATGCTGGGAGGGCTGGAGCAGCTCTGCTTTGGAGCCAGGCTGGGAGAGTTGGGGTGTTGAGCCTGGAGAAGAGAAGGCTCCAGGGAGACCTGAGAGCAGCTTCCAGTGCCTGAAGGGGCTCCAGGAAAGCTGGGGAGTGGCTTGGGACAAGGCCAGGGAGGAATGGGATGAGGGGGAAGGGTTTCCAGCTGGAAGAGGGAGCTGGAGATGAGATGGGAGGGAGAAATTCTGGGCTCTGAGGGTGGGGAGAGCCTGGCCCAGGTTGGCCAGGGAAGCTGTGGCTGCCCCATCCCTGGCAGTGTTGAAGGGCAGGTTGGATGGGGCTCTGGTGGCCTAGTGGGAGGTGTCCTGGCACATGGCAGGGGGGTTGGGACTAGATCATCTTGAAGGTCCCTTCCAACCCAAACCATTCTGTGATTCTATGATATGAACCTCCTGGGCAAACAAACCTCCAAGACCAATGCTGAAGCAGGACTGCTCCACCAGCTCCTGCAGCTCAGCCCCAAGCAAAGCAGGTGGGAGCCAGCAGGAGGAATCCAAATGGATAATGAGGCCCAGGGAAGCAGCACCAGGTCCCAGCTGCTCCACAACCACTCAGGGAGACTGTGGCCTCAGCTCTGCTCCCCTGGCTTGAAAGCCATGAGTTGAACAGTCTGGGGCTGGTGGCCACAGGAGCCAGTGGTCAGGATGTCTGCAGGAAGGGTCAGGAGCTGTAAGTTGGGACATGAAATGAAACTGGATCTTGGGCAGCACTGAGGTGCCCAGGAAAGGCTGTTATTTATAGCAGCCCTTGAGCAGATCTGCTCACAACACATCCTGGAGCAGATGAGACCTGGCTGAGGGGCTGTCAGCACAGCCAGGGGGAAGCTGAGACTCCACAGACACACACCTGGTCCTTGTCACCCAGCTGAGTCTGCTTTCAGTCTGAACAAAGCCCATCTACCCCAAATTCTGCCCAGAAGCTTTCAAGCCCTGGGCAAACAATGTTTTGAGCTCTTGGGTTTGGGGCTGGGGGTCCTGCAGGCTCACCACAGGCTCTGTCTCAGGCACTCTGTCACACTTCCTGGTGGCAAGGAGAGTGTCCATGACCACTCGCCAGCCTGGCTCTGCCTTCACAGGCTCCTTCTCCACCTGGGCTGTGGTGTCTTCCAGAGCTTCCCCTCCCTCCACAGTGTTGATCCAGGGACACCAGTCACGATGCTGTGAGCTGGGGTCAAAGAAGCTCCTCAAAGAAGTGTCCTGGATGGGGGAGGAGATGACAGTGAAGGAGGGGAGTGACAGGATGGTTGAAAACAGACTCCAATAGCACAATCATAGAACAGTTTTCTTTGGAAAGGACCTAGAAGATTAATGTAGTGCCAACCCCCCTGCAGGGGGGGACACCTCCCACTACACCAGGTTGCTCCAAGTCTCATCCAACCTGCCCTTCAACACCTCCATGGAGGGGGCAGAAAAAACCCTCTCCATGCTTAACACCAGCCCTGAGCTGTCCCAGTGCTGTGCTAAGGGGGACAACAACATCCCTTTGATCAGGAGCACCCTGCCCAGATCCCTCTCCTCCCCAGATCCCTCTCCTCCCCACCCAGATCACTCACTGAGCTGCTGGAGGAGCAGAGCCGTGCCCGCTTGGCTCTACGGAGAGGACTGGATGGCACCTCCACGTTGTCCCCTTGTCCCATGCTGCGGGTGACAGGGCGGCTCCTCAGAGTGGGACTGGCCACCTCCAGGTCACTCCTGTCCATGGGGATGGGAGAGTCCCAACCCCGTGGGCGAGGGATGGATGGGGATGGGCTCTTCTCCTGCTGCCAGTGGGGAAAGAACAAGGAATTCATAGAGCTCCTCCAGTCACCAACATGAAGTGGACATGGCGGGGGACCCTGTCTAGCTCAAACAAGACATCAAAGCCTTCTCTCCTGTGCCACCTTCCCACCAGGAGCATCTTAGATGTGTCTGGTTGGATACAGCCCCTGATTTGGAGCACTTTGAGATAGAAAAGCCTCAATATTCTGGCTGGAAAAGCCTCTTTTTTTTTTTTCAGGAGGGCTGTTGGAGGGGAGGACAAAGACCTGCAAAGGGCAGGGATAAAGCCAGCAGCAACCCACTTCTGCTGAAGACACAGCACCAAGATGAGCCTCTTTCAAGGGAAAAGGCACCCAAACTACCCCTTGGTGCCACCCAGAGCCCCTCAAGCCATACCTGCTCAGAGCCTGGAGGGAGTGTGTCCTGGCTCCGTGTCAGCATCCGAGGGGTGGGCGGGAGCCCGCAGCCGCTCGGCGGGCGCGGCGCTGCTGGGGCTGCAGGAGTCCAGCTCCAGGCCCCCAGACTCCAGCTGGTGGAAGCCCCAGAGTCCCACCTTCCTCATGCAACGGGAGCAGGTGATCACCGAGAGGTGCACGGAGCCAGGGGTGGAGCCAGGGGTGCTGCTGCGGGGACAGAGCCAAGGCGGGAGGGGAAAGTCAGGGAGGAGCCTGCGACCTGCCCCCAAAAATCGCAGCTTTCAGAAGAGATGCAGGTGTTTGGCAGAGCATGGGAACCACCAAGGGCACAGGTTCCTGAGCCAAGAGGCTTCAGGACATCAGGACCCCTGGGCTGAGGCACAGACTTACAGCTTTGGTAGCCCCGTGTGCTAAGAAGTGAAACAAGTCCATTAAATCCCATCTATAGCTTTGCTTTAAAGGGGCTCAGATACTCACCAGAAAGGCAAAAAATCAGCCCAAAGCACCTGGGGTGTGTGCAGGCATGAGGCTCCTGAGGAGCAGCTGAGGGAGCTGGGGGTGTTGAGCCTGGAGCAAAGGAGGCTGAGGGGAGACCTTCTGGCTCTGCAGCTGCCTGAGAGGAGGTTGGAGCCAGGGGGGTCGGGCTCTGCTCCCCAAGAACAAGCGACAGGACAAGAGGGAACGGCCTCAAGTTGTGCCAGGGGAGGTTGAGGTTGGATCTGGGGAACAATTCCTGCCTGGCAAGGGCTGTCAGGGCCTGGCCCAGGCTGCCCAGGGCAGGGGGGGAGTCCCCATCCCTGGAGGGGTTTCCAAGCCCTGGAGATGGTGCTGAGGGACATGGGGCAGTGGTGGCCTTGGTGGTGCTGGGGTAATGGTTGGACTTGATCTTTAAGATCTTTTCCAACCAAAATGATTCTATTCTACTCCATTTCAGCTTCCCATGAAGCAGCACACCCAGTTAGGGCACATCAGCCAAGAGTGTTCCCCTCCTCAGCCCCTGAACTTCCCAGCACAGTGGCAGCTCCACTCTTCCCCACCCTAAGTCCTTTTCCAGCCCTTTTCCAGCCTGAACCCTCAGACAGGGACTCACTTTCAGCAAGCTGCCCCAGCCACAAGCAGTGTTACCCATCTGCACCCAGCACACACTTTGGGCACCCACAAACCTTCAGGTGACCAATCTTCCCTCCCTTCCCACAGGCCTAAAGAGTAATGACAGCCTGACTGAGGGTGACATTTCAGGAACTGAATTCAACATCTAAATCAGCAACAAGTGGGGCAACCAATAGTTCAGCTTTTTAAGACTCTTGGCTGTCTCAGAGAGACCTTTGAGCTGGGGTTACAGAGGATAGATCATAGAGTCATGGGATGGTTTGGTTTGGAAGGGACCTTCAAGACCATCTAGTTCCAACCCCCCTGCATGGGCAGGGACACCTCCCACCATTCCAGGCTCTTCCAAGCCCCATCCAACCTGCCCTTCAACACTGCCAGGGATGGGGCAGCCACAGCTTCTCTGGGCAACCTGGGCCAGGGTCTCCCCACCCTCACAGAAAAGTCAATTTTAACAGCTGAAGGAAAAAAGATAAGTGAAACAGGGAATATTGAACATTTCACTGAGGGACACCCATGTTCCTCCAGCCTCCCACAGGTTTCACCACAAAAGCCAAGTGCAGCAGACCCTCTGGTGTCAGTCCTGCACCATCACCCACCTGCAAGTCCAGCCACACAGAGCCAGGATGCAGGCAGGAACATGCACTGGCAGCATTTCTGTGGAAAACTTCATTGGTGGTTTCTCATCCTCCCTTTTCTGCTCCAGCTCCTCCCCAATCAACTGGAGGAGGAGGGTGATCTTTTCCTCTGTCAAGGACTGCAGGACAGAGAAAAACAACAAACCTGGTTAAAAAAAACCCACAACACTCCTTCTACTCACAAACTACATCCTTCATGGATTAAAAAAAATAATAAATATCCCTTTTTCTGGCACCAAAAGGGCATGAGGTGGCACCCTCAGCACCTCTTCTCTGCTGGTGGCTTCCTCCTACCTCGTGTCCATCTGACTCTCCCCAACACCTGGGCTCAGTTCCAGCACCATTTGCTCCCCTGAGCATGGGTGGGGACAGTGGAGAAGGTCACAGCTCTGCTACTCCTGGCAAGGCTGAGCCTGGAGAGCCCCCAGCCACCCCTCCCAGCCCAGGGTGGGGGCTGCATTTCCCTGTGCTCAGGGAAACCATGAGGGCTTCTGGGGCCACAAAGCAAGGAAAGAGTCCCCAGAGGCTGTTGATGGGGCTCCAGACCTTGCTCCCTGTGGGAGTCAGATGTGGAGATGGGATGGGTTTCTGCTGTCTCTTCTCAGATGGGGGGGTGGGGTTTCCCCAACTCAGCCAGCCCACGGTGGCAACCTTAAGACACCTTCTACAGTTTCTGCTGCATGGATGAAGAGCTCCCTTGCTCCTGCACAGCTCCTTGCTGCCCAGAGCCATCTGCTTCCCAGCAAGGGAGTGCCCAACAAGTCAGACTTGGCTGCAGGAGAGCAGGGCCTGGCCAGGTCCCACCATGGAGGCAATCCCACACGTGCTGCTGGCTCTGGCCATGCTCCAGCCTCTCCTGCTGTAGCTCCTGCTCTTCCCTCCTCCCTGCTGAGCCTCCTTGCACCAGAGGCCCCTCCATGTACCTCACACCCTGGGCTCCCTCACCTTCAGTGGCCTCTGCCCACACCTCTGCTCCAGGACAGCCTCTAGCACCTGAAATTCCTTATCCCATCTAATGACTGTCCTGTAGGATTCCAGCTCTAGGAGCAACCCCCAGTCTGCCACATCTCAGGGAGTGCTTGGAGGTAACAAACAAGCTTCCCAAATCAGTTTTGCCAGGCAGCAGATAGCACCATGCCTGCCAGGGAAGGGGCACAGGGGAATAGGACACTACAGCCCACCTCCCCATGGCAACACAGTGGTGACAGGAGCCACCTGTGCCTGTGCTGGTCAAGGGCTTGCACAGCAGCTGAGCCTTCCCAAGCTCCCTCTAAGTAATTCCAAAAAGACCAGGTGGAAGCACCATGTGGGGAATGTCTGAGAAGAAAGGCAAGGCAAAGACAGACCAGCTCAGGGCTGAGCTTTGCCTACTCCAATTCTGGTGCTCCCAAGAAGGACATGGAGTGGTTAGAGAAAGGCCAGAGGAGGCCCCAGAGATGCTGGGAGGGCTGGAGCAGCTCTGCTCTGGAGCCAGGCTGGGAGAGTTGGGGTGTTGAGCCTGGAGAAGAGAAGGCTCCAGGGAGACCTTAGAGCAGCTTCCAGTGCCTGAAGGGGCTCCAGGAAAGCTGGGGAGGGGCTTAGGACAAGGGCAGGGAGGGATGGGAGCAGGGGGAAGGGTTTCCAGCTGGAAGAGAGAGCTGGAGATGAGATGTGAGTGAGAAATTCTGGGCTGTGAGGGTGGGGAGACCCTGGCCCAGGTTGGCCAGAGAAGCTGTGGCTGCCCCATCCCTGGGAGCGTTGAAAGGCAGGTTGGATGGGGCTTGGAGCAGCCTGGGATGGTGGGAGGTGTCCCTGGGGTTGGACTAGATGATCTTGAAGGTCCCTTCCAACCCAAACCATTCTATGATTCTATGATTCTCCAAGCCAGAACCTCCCAACTGCTTCAGGCAGGGTTTGCACAGCACAGGCACAGTCCCTGACATCATCACCAGGGACCTGGATGCACCCTCTCTTGGGACCAGAGAGGAACTCACCATGTTTTTCATGTCTTCTGGCCTGAGGGAGGGCAGCTGCAGCTCCAGCTGGCACAGGCTCCGAAAGCGATCCAGGAAATCCTGGAGAAGGGCTCTGGGCTCATCCACCAGCAACATGGCAAAACGATCTGGTGAGAAGAAAGCTGGGAGAGCTGAGCTGTGGCACCACAGCCTTCACACCCCCTCTTTATCCCACAGGGCAGGCAGGAGAGGAGTCCCACCCACTTTTGTGTCACTTGGCTTTTAAAAGAAAAGCTGAGCACAACTTTTTTTGTGTTTTGCAGCCACCCCTGCCCGTGCTGTGCAGCTCTAAGGTGAGATCTCTTGCCCTCTGACACTGCCTGCTCCAGGAACCTGAGGAGAAACCACAGGTCCTACAACAGGAGAGAGCAGGAGCAGGGGTTTGGAAGCTGTTGGTGCTGCTCTGGACAGGATTTAATGGATTGCCAGAGAGCTCCCACCTGGAGTAGTGAACCCAGCTTGGGGGCCCTCAGCACAGGAGACAGAAAAATGATCTGAGGGCTGGAGCAGCTCTGCTCTGGAGACAGGCTGAGAGTTGTTCAGCCTGGAGAAGAGAAGGCTCCAGGGAGACCTCATCATGGCCTTTCAATACTTAAAAGGGATTTATAAGAAAGATGGGGAGGGACTTTTTAGCAGAACCTGTAGTGATAGGAGAGGGGTGATGGTTTTAAATGGAATGAGGGGAGATTTAATTGAGATATCAGGAAGACATTTTTTTCCTGTGAGAGTGGTGAGACACTGGGACAGGTTGCCCAGAGGGGTGGGAGAAACCTCATCCCTGGAAACATTCAAGGCCAGGTTGGATGGAGCTTGGAACAATCTGATCTAGCTGGAGCTACCCCTGCTCACTGCAGAGAAGTTGGACTGGGTGGCCTTGAAAGGTCCCTTCCCACCCAAAGCAGTCTGTGATTCTATGGCAGAAAGGGAGGGGAAAAAAAAGGGAATGATGCTGGATGTGCACACTAACCAGGCTCTGAGACACCAACCTGGGCAGGGACTGTCTGGCCAGAAGCAGAACTTCTCATGAGCAGAGCACAAGGCCTTCTTCAGCTCCACGCAGCGCTCCTTGTCTGCAAGGCAAAGTCACTGCTATCCCCTGAGGAATGGCTGGGAAAACCAAACCAGGAGAGGAAAGCACCAAGCCATGAGGGCTTCCCTGCTCCTCAGGTGATGGATGTCACCTGAGGCTGCAGAGCCTGAAGCTCTCACCTCAGATTCAACTCCCTCCCCACCAAAAGGAGCTGCTGCTCCTCCAGCCTCCCCCTTAGGCAACCCCAGAGCTGTGGTTTCTGCAGCAGAGAAGGGCAGGCTGTCTCCAGGGTTTATCTCCAGGGCTTATCTCCCCTCCAGCAAGCATCACTGGAGCAGTTCCACCTCCCTGCAGCCAAAAATGCCCTCCTGTTCCCAGGCACAGCGACCAGGGAGCAGTGGAGCTGCCACACAGCACAGCAGCTCAGGGAAAACACAGCTCAAAGCAACCACGGGGAAAGGGAACAGCTGCTCTTGCCAGAGTTACCTCCTGAGGAGCTGCCAGTCTCTGGTAACTCCCCTGATCCCTCCATCCTAGCTGCAGAACCCAAATCACAGTCACATCTGGCAATCAACCTTCCCCCCAAAAAAAGAATTTGATACTTGAATTATCCCCACCTTTCAGAACCAAAGAGTTCATTTCTCAATTCGTTTTTCCAGCCCTTCTTCCAACCTCTGATTTGCTTTAGATTTTTTCCTAAACCAGCACCATGACCATCAGAAGAATCAGGGCAAGGTTTATGAAGAAGAGATAGTCTGAACAAACACCAGAGATCAACACTGAGTGACCCAAAAGGAAACCTTCACACAGCTCCTCATGACACATGACCTGTGTCTGCCAGACACCACAGCTGAGCTCCCTGCCACCTTCCAGACAACAAGAGCAAGGATTTGCAGTCAAGAAGATGGAGAAGTGGAGAAGACACTTATTTGTGGTGGGGTATGAAATGTCTTTCTGCAGAGGTGGGTAAAGGAAAGTGAGGGGCTGTGTTTGTCTAGTTTGGGGTAAAGGAAGGTGAGGGGAGACCTCATTGCTCTTCAGAACTTCCACAGGAGGGGATGTGGAGATGGAGGAGCTGATCTGCAGTGCCTGAAGGGGCTCCAGGAAAGCTGGGGAGGGGCTTGGGACAAGGGCAGGGAGGGATGGGAGCAGGGGGAAGGGTTTCCAGCTGGCAGAGGGAGCTGGAGCTGAGATGTGAGGGAGAAATTCTTCTCTGTGAGGGTGGGGAGAGCCTGGCCCAGGTTGCCCAGAGAAGCTGTGGCTGCCCCATCCCTGGCAGTGTTGAAGGGCAGGTTGGATGGGGCTTGGAGCAGCCTGGAATGGTGGAAGGTGTCCCTGCCCATGCAGGGGAGTTGGAACTGGATGATCTTGGCTGTCCTTTCCAACCCAAACCACTTAATGATTCTATGATATCTACTCCCCAGAGACAGGATGAGTGGGAATGGTTCAAAATGGTGTTGGGGCAGCTCAGATTTGCTACAGGAAACATTTAAGTAGGTGGAAAAAGCTTCCTGGGGAGGGAAAGGTGGATGCCCCAAGCCTGGCAGTGTTTGAGAGGCATTTGGACAATGCCCTTAACGACAGATTTTAACTCTGAAGTAGTTGGACTAGATGACTGGCACAAGTCCCCTCCAAGTCTCTACTCCTAAGGAAGAAGCAACATGATAAGAGGGAACGGCCTCAAGTTGTGCCAGGGGAGGTTGAATCTGGGGAACAATTCCTGCCTGGCAAGGGTTGTCAGGGCCTGGCCCAGGCTGCCCAGGGCAGGGGGGGAGGCCCCATCCCTGGAGGGGTTTCCAAGCCCTGGAGATGGTGCTGAGGGACACGGGGCAGCGGTGGCCTTAGCAGGGCTGGGGAAGGGTTGGACCTGCTGATCTAAAGAGTCTTTTCCAACCAAAACAATTCCAGGATTCTATTCTAACCCATCTCTGACAAGAGGACCAAGCCCTTTCATCACATTCTCAACCAACTAAAGGAAATCATTTGACTCCTGCTTTATTTTCAGAGATCCCAACCCCCCAGCACCACCCAGAGCAGAGCTATGAAACAATTTTTGCACAAGTCAAGGCACAGACACCCACAAAACTCCACTGCCCACCCCCCACCACCTCCAGCCTACTTACACTTGGTGAAGTCAAGGCTGAGCTGCAGGCTGACACAGAGGAAAGCCTGGCAGCTGGAGCACTTCAGCATGTCACACTCCACGTTGGTCCAGCCATACTTGGCACAAACCAGGGGGGACAGCTCGTGGGGCTTCCCTGCCCACTTCAGAGGGTGCTGGAGTCAAGGGGAAAGCTCATGGACGTGATAGGTTAAACAGTCCAAGCTTTGGCCTGGGTTTATGTGGCCAAAGAAAGGTTGAGAGAACTGGGGATGTTCAGCCTGGAGAAGAGAAGGCTCCAGGGAGACATTAGAGCAGCTTCCAGTGCCTGAAGGGGCTCCAGGAAAGCTGGGGAGGGGCTTGGGACAAGGGCAGGGAGGGATGGGAGCAGGGGGAAGGGTTTCCAGCTGGCAGAGGGAGCTGGAGCTGAGATGGGAGGGAGCAATTCTGGGCTGTGAGGGTGGGGAGAGCCTGGCCCAGGTTGCCCAGAGAAGCTGTGGCTGCCCCATCCCTGGCAGTGTTGAAGGGCAGGTTGGATGGGGCTTGCAGCAGCCTGGGCTGGTGGGAGGTGTCCCTGCCCATGGCATTTGGGACTGGATGATCTTTAACCTCCCTTCCAACCCAAACCACTCTGATTCCATGACTCTATAGGACAGAGCCTGTAGGGAAGCCCCAGGGAAGGAGGGCTGGAAGGGAAGCACCAGGAAGGATATGGTGAAGGTTTCTACTCTGCTGAAATAGGCCTCCTTGCTGGCAGACTCCAGGGCCAGAGCATCCACTGGGGAAGATCCATTAGCTGATTCCAACCAGTCGGATGTGTCCTTCCTAAAAGGAACAGCAGGTCAGCAAGGGAAGCATCTGGAGAGATGGCACCAATAAACCAAAACTGCACAGACCACATCTGAACCTGATGCCCTTCAGCCTCACCCTGACAAACCCCCTTTCTCCAGAGCCTCTGAGCCTCAGCTTTTAATTACTTTTCTAATCAACCCACAAAAAAATAACCCCCACAAATGATACAGGAAGGAAAAGCAGCCCAGGAAACATTTCTCAGTGACAGAGAGAAGCAGAAAAGGGGGATTTGATGTGGGAAGTAGGAGCCAGGAGCTGGTTTTCCAAGCCTGCTGAAGCCAGATGGAGGATCATGGCAGATCTCTGAGGTCAGGGACTTATCCCAGCTCCCAGCACCTGGAATGCTGGCTCCCAGCACCCCCTCCAGCCTCCCCCCAGCACCTCAAACTTCAGGGATGGCTGGCTCAAGGCTCAGCAACCCCTCCAGCCTCTCCCCAGCACCCCAAACTTCTGGGATGGCTGGCTCAAGGTTCAGCACCCCCTCCAGCCTCCCCCCAGCACCCCAAACTTCAGGGATGGCTGGCTCAAGGCTGCTCCTCCAAGGACAACCACAGTTGCTTGGCTTTAGCCACACAACCCCCCAGGCTCAGCCTCCCAGTGCTCCCAGACTCCCCAGCATCCTCCAGTAACTCCTGTGCCTCTCTCCCCACAGTGTGAGCCCCACTCTTCAGGTCAGAGCCCCTGTATGTGCCCAGCTCAGCTGTGGGGACATCAGAGCTACACAGATCACTTATCTGCTCCTGCCCTCCCAGTGCCTCCCAGCACACACCAGTGCCTCCCCACTGCAGCCTCCCAGTACCTCCTTAGTCCATCCAGTACTCCCAATACCTCCAATCCCACCATTACTGCCCCCCAGTCCCATGTCCCAGTACCTCTCAGAAACACCAGTTCTGTGTTGCAGTGCCCCTTATGGCCACCAGTACTGCCTCCCAGTGCTCCTTAGTTCCTCCAGTACTCCCAGTGTCACCAGTATAGCCTCCCAGTGCTCCTTAGTCCCTCCAGTACTCCCAGTGTCACCAGTACAGCCTCCCAGTGCTCCTTAGTCCCTCCAACACTCCCAGTGTCACCAGTATAGCCTCCCAGCCCTCCTTAGTCCCTCCAACACTCTCAGTGTCACCAGTATAGCCTCCCAGCCCTCCTTAGTCCCTCCAGTACTCCCAGTGTCACCAGTATAGCCTCCCAGTGCCCCTTAGTCCCTCTAGTACTCCCAGTATCCCCAGTACCGCCACCCAGCACCTCCCATCGCCCCTCTTGTCCCACCACCCCTATCCCATAACACCCCCCAAGACCCTCCAGCACCCCACAACACCTCCTGCCGTCTCCCAGCACCT